TAGAAGTTTTCAGCCTTTCTCCATTCCATATGAAGTTGGGTGTGAGCTTGTTATATAGGGCTTGTATCATGTTGAGATACATTCCTTATGTACCTAATTTTATCGTGAAGAGATTTTATCATATGCCTTTTTTGCATCTATTGAGATAATTATGTGATTTTGTTCTTTATTTTTCCACAAACACACACACACACATTTTGTGTGTGTGTGTGTGTGTGTGTGTGTGTGTGTGTGTGTGTTTGTAGGACAATTGCTTTAGTGCTATTAAGAATCCCCACTTGGTCACCATGAATGATCTTTAAAATGTGCTGTTGGACACCATTTAATTTTCCCATTCTTTTCTAAATGCTTTTTTGAGGAAGTTCTCACTTTTAGGAAAGATTACCTCACTCTGCTCCATCTTATATGAGACTACTCAAATCTTACCCATCCTTTGAATCCTAACTTAATTCCATTGCTTTTGAATGCCTATTTGGGTCCCATTAGCCAGAAATCATGTGCTTGTTGTATCATTAATTTAGAATTAAAGGTTTAGTACTGGGCTATTTCTTGCTCTTATATTCAGTTTATTCAAGTTTATTTATTTTCATAGATGTTTGCYTGATCTCCATCTAAATTTTTAGCTCTTTGAAAAAGAAACAACACTTTATAGTGCTTTGGATAGCTCCATATTGCCTGAGAGGTTTCTCCATAAATACTTTTTAAAAAATTTATGGAGAATTTGATTTAATTTGATATGACTCTATTGAGAATAAATATTTAAAAAATATTTTGTTTGGTTACTTTGAAAAGTTTGTGTCTACTATCTTAATATAATAGTATGAAAAATCTTTATAACATTTCTTAGTAAAACAATATTGTCTAAGGTTTAAAATATTTTAACTTAAGAATCAAAGCTAAAGTTACCAAATTATATTGTTATATTGTGTGCATGAATTAATATGTAACAGCAAATCTCACTATTATGTATAATTATAATGTACCAATAAAATATATGAACTTGAAAAAATCTGAACTACCAAATATTAAAAATGTATCTATTAAAACTAACCAATTTTTTAAAAAATAAAGATGATCAGTTGGACAGAGTGGCGCATACCTGCAGTCCCAGCTACAGGCTGAGGCTGGGGTATCACAAGTTTGAGGCCAGCCTGGGAAACTTAGTGAAATCTTGTCTTAAGATAAAAATAGAAGGGTCTATGGATTCAGCTCAATGGTAGAATGATAGAGCACTTGCCCAACATGTGCAAGGTTCTGGGTTCAACACCTAGCAAACCCCCTAGATCAAATGTCTGTGTGATCATGGCCTTCCTTTAACTCAATGTTTTTTTCCCTTCCTGTCTAGGAGGGAGTTAATATTTATGGTGTGCTAGTTATGTGCTAGGCACCGTGGAGGCCTCTTCATTTCATTGACTCCTCATTATTGCCTTTATTGGGATGTGCTAGGAGATTCCTAGATAATTCTGCCTCTGAGACCATAAGGCTTTCTTGACATTTAGCCTTGTAATAGTCCTTGGTCACTAGAATGTAGTGTTGCTTTTCCTGTTTTTCTTAAGATGAATTATGAAGACTTTAACAAAAGGAAGAAATGAAATAGAGACATGTTATAATATTTATATCTTCCATTATTGTCATAATTTTTTTAATGTGCTATCATGTTGTGATATGTTCATTAGAAACTATGGAAAGCCTGCCTCTCAGCATTCCAAATTAGAAAATAAAGTTTGTGGTTGGATTGCATCACTGTCAATCATTCTAGGTTAAAAAAAGATGGGTTGAACCAGGCATGGTGGTGGACACTATAATCCCAGTGACTCAGGAGGCTGAGGCAGGAGGATCCCAAATTTGAGGCCAGTCTGGGAGATTTGGTGAGACCCTAAGAAATTAGTGAGATCTTGTCTCCAAATAAGAAATAAAAAGGACTTGGCATGTAGCTCAGTGGTAAAGTGCCTCTGGGTTCAACCCCTAGTACCTTTACCTCACCCTCCAAATAAAAGAAAAGGAAGATAGGCAGATCTGCCTCAGGGAAAGTAGTAACTTTTTTTGATCTACTTTCCAAGAATGATGGGTGAGGCATATTGTGACTCAACATATAAACATTTTGAGGGARGAAACTTCAGCAATAAAGAACTGAAAATCCATTGTAAATGCTTTTTGCTCATTAATAGTATCTTGAATAAAAAAATAAAAAATTTGTTGAATAAAAACCTCATAGATATCTTAGAGTTCTTATATTTTCACTCACTGCCTCATAAAAATATTACTTATTGATTTAGGACTTGACAAGAAGAATGGAGTCTTACTGGATGTTGGCCAGAAATCCCCCTAAAAGAGATTCTTAAATACATGCTTTCCACATAAGAGAACCCGAGGTTCAGGGAAATTAAGTTGCTTGTCCAAAGTTCAAGGTTAGGAAATGACAGTTATATCTGTTTCTCTGTTTTCAAGTTCAGCTGCTGTATGCATGCCTTTAGGTACTCAGAAAGCTCGAGAGTCACTAAACTTCAGAACTATTACTTGTAATTCACTTTGTTTCTGAATTTCACTTACGATTTGACAAGTATTGAAGAACTCAGAAAAAAAAACTAAAGTAAAATGTTTATTTCCAGGAATCCTAGCTAGTGCCTACTCTCCATTACTATTCATGACTATTATAAAGTTATAAAGAATCTAGTAGACATGTAACCACATTCTTATTAAATATCCCTATGGGTTTGAAATTGGGGAAATAAATGAAGACTAAAACTAATTTTTTTTCCTATGCATAAAGTTTGTGCATTACCTGTTGTAACTCCACATGGCCAAATACACCTGAAAATGAGAATCTGAAAATAGCAATGATTCCTGAAACTGTCATCTGTTGTGTTTTGTACTCATTTCTGTACTATTATGAAAACAAAGAACTTGGCCAGAAAACACCCCATGTGTTCGAAGAACTTGAATAACCAAAATTCTCCACTAGCAAAAATTAATTTCAATGGAAACCAGAGGCTGCTTGGACCATAAAATATTCTTCCCATTAGGAAAAATGTGTAAGTAGCTTGAATATTGCCTGTTTCATTCAAAAATGCCAGCGTGGACATGACTTCTTGTCCTGAGGGAATAGAAATGAATGAAAGGAAAATTACACTATGGATGGAAAAATGTAGGAAAAATGGATATATTTCCAATATCTGCTAGTCTGAAAATTAAAACACACACAAATTATGGAATCTAATTTGGCTAAATGTCAACAATGTTCAATAGCTAGAATTTAGTAGTATTAAAACTAGTTGGAGTAAAAATGCAATTTGCCAATAATATGGGGAAAAAGAAATTGAGAAGAGATTTATAATTTAAGAAAGTTTATATATAAGCTTTACAATAATAAATTATAATCAATAACATATAGTAGTTATTAATCATAAACTACTATAGGAAAGAGTTTTGATAAGGAGAAAAGAGCAAATAAGCAATTTGCACATATAAGAAAAGAAACTGGGGCTGGGGATGTGGCTCAAGCGGTAGCGCGCTYGCCTGGCATGCGTGTGGCCCAGGTTCAATCCTCAGCACCACATACAAACAAAGATGTGTCCGACGAAAACTAAAAAAATAAATATTAAAAAATTCTCTCTCTCTCTCTCTCTCTCAAAAAAAAAAAAAAAGAAAAAAGAAAAGAAACTGGTCATATTATTTATATTGAAAAATGTTTGTGACCCAGAATTCTACTATAACATTTTAATGACCTCCCTGGATTGCAAAATATTCTAACCGAAGTCCTATTCTATCATGTACCAGGGTGTATCTTTGCTTAACTTTGTGTTCAGAATTCTATGAAATTTTCTGGCATCTTTTATCAAACTTTCTGGGATTTTATTTTGCAATCTTATTACTATAGCTATTCCTATTTCTACCTATCTATCCACCTGTTTTTATCTCTATATAATTTATTTATATGCATATAAGTATTATCTATCTATATAAATAYACATCCATACAAACTTTGGTTTAATCTCCCAAATTTTTATCATTTGAGCTTTACACTTTAAAAACTTAGCTTGCCCTACTTTCACATTCACTAGCCTTTATGTTACTTGCCCTATTATTTCTTTCAGTTCCTCATTGCTATTGCTTTTGCAGTAATACAGGTGCTCTGCTCATCTTGGTGAAGTGATTTGTTGAAGTAATACAGGTGCTCTGCTCATCTTGGTGAAGTTTTGAGCTGTGTTTCCTGGATTCCCTGCTGCTGTTCTGGAAGTCCCAGCTGGGATTAAAGGAAAGATAGCTCAAATCTTGAAGCACTCTTAGCACTAGTTCTTGCACAGGTGAGGAGTACCCAGGACATCGTTGAGCTCCCTCAGAGGAAGAGCCATAGTTTCCCTAATTGGTTGGACATTATTGCTCTTTATTGCTCCCACTGGACTTGGGAACATTTTACCTTTTAAATTTCTCTCTTCTCTCTCTGTAGCTGATAAAATAGGCTTTATTATTATTATTGTTGTTGTTGTACTGGAAATTGAATTCAGAGGTTTCAGTCCTTTTATTTAGAGACAGGATCTGAGTTGCCTAGACTGGCCTTGATCTTGGAGATCTTCCTGCCTCGGTCTCCTGAGACACTGGGATTAAAGGCATTTGCCTCCACACTCAACGGATAGTTTTGAATCAGATGGAAAAGCACAACGATACAGTATTGTTCTAGAAGGGAGTTATGAATCAAACCTCATTTGGTTAACTACATTTAGCACAAAAGATCTAGAACACATAGACTAAACAGACAGGGAATTTAGAGTTAATACATTAAAGCAATCCTAAAAATAAAGCTGTATTTTTGTACTAACTGGATCTTGATTATTATCCTGTCTGTAAAATACAATGTCCAATATAGTAGGAACAGAAGAAAGCAGACTCTACTTTTATTATATGTATTTCTTATCTTTATTTTCTGTAAAGAAAAATTGACTTTGTAGTTCCTAAATTTAGTTAAATTGATGGACAAAAAATGACTTGAAATTCAGCCTCACCTTGTTCACAGTAGATTCCAGTGGTTCCTAGAGGACAGTAACAGGTGTATCCATGAGGCAATGAAATACAGGTTGCTCCCTTGCTGCAGCGGTGTGGGGGGTCGTGTTCAGGATCACAGGAAGTGACTGTCTCTGTGCAGAATGCTCCTTTCCACCCTGTGGGACAGTTGCAGCTGTAGGTTGAGAGAGAAATTAGCACTTGAATAGGGCTGGATATACTCTTGTTATCACTCTGATATAAAGTTTGCAACGTTAACTTTAGGTCCCAAGATTACCTAGGTGCATTGTGATTCAAGCAGTCACGATCAAAATTGTCAAAGGAAAGCATTAATAACTGGTTATAAGATTACTGATCTCCATATCAAGTATTTAAAAAGGTCCAAAGCATGGAAATAGAACATTTTATGAAAATCATTTCTTTCTTTTTATTTTTTGGTATTGGGGAGTGGGGTGCTCTACCACTGAGCTATATCCCAGCCCATATATATATATATATATATATATATTTTGAGACAGGGTCTCACTAATTTGCTGAGGTTGGTCTCAAACATGCATTTCTCCTGCCTCAGTCTCCAGAGTTGCTGGGACTACAGGCATGTGCTACTGTACCTGGGCAGAATAATTTCTTTTGACAAAACCACACTGTAGGTCCCTCTCCTTTTCTGCACACCACCAGGGGGAGGGCTAGGTCTGGAGTTTCTGCCTCTTAACCTTAAATCTGAAGAAAGGAGATTCAGCAGCATTACTTGGAGAGTTTCCTATATGTTCCCTTGTACAGGAGAACACAGAGGCCTAGCTCTTGAGGAATCTTGCCAGGGGTGTGTCACATATAAGTGAATCTCAGGGAAGGTATGCAACACTCTTAGAAACATCAGACAGAGGGCATAAAATAGGGATCATGCACAAGAGCTGTCCTCCTGGCCAAAGAGACTTCAGTAGTAAAAGGCCGTCTATCAGCTTATGCTTGATGCAGACTATGAGGGCTGGCAGGGAGGACCCAGTTGGAAGAGAGACCTTGCCTGGGTTTACAGTGTCATACTGGGAGAGGCCCAAGTAAGGGAGTTGCTGATGGACCGACCAAAGGTAGGAGTTACCAGGCAAATTCAGGGCACTGGCTAATTTGAAATGTCTGATAAACATTGATTTTTTTTTGTACATGTGTAAGCATATCTGATACTGTATTTGAATTTCAGGTAAACAATATTTTGGATATGCTGAAAATTATTTGTTGTTTATTTGAAATTCAAATTTATCTGGGCACCATGTATTGTCTCCTTTTCCCCCTAAATCTGGCAGCCCTCATTAAATGACATAGTAGAGTAAGTGTCAGCTTTAAATCCCTGCCAGAGAGGACTAAATCTATTTAAAATAGTACCAAAGAAGCACATTCTAAGATAGGGCATGGGGTCTAGGGTTAGAAACCAGTAGGCTGAGGAAAAGCAACAGTGGATCACACCTCCTTCCCACCACCTTCCATTCAAACCAGAGTCCTTGGCTGGGTTTCAGGCACCAGTCTTGAAGAGGCAAGTATTGATCAATATATTGAAGTGGGTCCTTTAAATTAATGAGTTGATAGTATATTTAAAAATTAACATGTTTATTTGTCAAGTAGAAACAGAAAATTCAGCGGGCTTCCCCATGTTCCAATTTAGCAGCACATAAATGTTGAGTCCCCTATGCAGGYACAAAAAAGATAGTGATAAACACAAGCAAATTTATTTTATGAGTACATCCATGAGTCCTGGGTCACTCTTTTTTTTTTTTTTTAAATGCATGACAATTATTTTATGTAACACATTGAGTTTTAAAGGAACAGTAACATAATTATTTCAAATCAAAYACACACATAAACAAAGGGTCACTCTTTTTTGTTCTCAATGTATTACAACAGTCATTATTTGCTGGCAAACTATAGATATAGTTGACACCAAGAGCACGCTGGGGGATTTGAAAAGCATCACCAATATATAATTTCTACTGTAAACAAGTCAAGATAAGGCAGGTAGAAAATGGAAGTGTCTGTAATTTTGTGTTTTCTTTACCCCAGTAGTTAACCCTCACAGATTCTATGGATTGAAGGTAGTTTATAACCTTTCTAGTTGGATCAAACTATATGACACACATTATATACCATATAGAAGGGAAATGAGGACAACTGGCACTCTTTCTGTAAACAGTGTTAACATCCTTTATCACTTTACAGAAACAACAGATAAAAATATTATAAAATTAAAACAAATCACCTGATCCACCTCTGATTATGACAAAGCTATTTTTTTTTTTACCACTTAGCATGTATCTTACTACTATTTTGTTTAAGCACGTTTTACATTTGTTTTTTTTTTAATTTTTTTATTTTTTGGCACTGGGAATCAAACAGAGAGGCACTTTACTACTGAAGTATATCACCAGTCCATTTTATTCTGAGACAAGTTCTCCCGGGATTGCTGAGGCTGGCTTTGAACTTGTGATCCTCTTGCCTCAGCATCCTGAGTAGTTGGGATTACAGGCATATGCCATGCCTTGTCCAGCTAAGCAAATTTTAACATTAAAAATGCTTTGCATAGTGTTTTATAGTCTCTTGTTTAAAATCAATTTGAAGTACATTATGCATAACATGTATAAATACAGTTTAAAGTTAAGGATAAAATGAATGTCTTTGAACCTGCTTTACCCCCAAATCTCCCAGAGAATGACCAGGACTTTGAAGGTCACATGTGTGCTTGCCCTGAGAGCCTCCTGACCTACCCTACAGGGAGCTGACATTGTCCTGAAATTCTAGATAATCACTCACTTCAATTTTTACTTAGAGTTGGTTTTAGGATTCACCTGTGTAGACCTGGTTCATTGTCATTGCTATATAACTTGATGAATAGAGGGTCATAATTTCTGTGTCATTGAAATTTTAATATTTCCTTTTATGGTTTGAATTTTGTGAGACCCTTATTTGTGAAATTCTTCCATATTACAAGATCAAATAGTTGTTATATGTTATCTTCCAAATCACATTTTTGTCCTTTACATTTAAGTCTTAATATGCCTAAAGTTATTTTTTTGTGTGTGTTCAACGTGAGGTGCAGTTAGTTATCCATGTGGACAACCAATAGTCCTAGCACTCTGTTAAACAGTTCACCCTTTTCCTCTGATGAACCATGTTCATTTATGAAAGGCCTAGATCTAGTTTAGACTAATATTTGGGTCAATGTCACAGTCTTCATTTCTCCAGCTTTAGAAGTCTGGATGTCTAGAGCAGCAAGTTCTGCTACTTTGTTTTTCTCTTGAGAGGTATATTAACTATTTTTAGCCTTTTTCTCTTTCAGGTATTTTCCCTTCAACTAGTTCAAAGTGTAAGATAGGCAAATTTACCCAATGTCTCTGTGTAAAATGGCATTTGTTTCTCATTTATTTTTATACTGTGCATGTAGCTGTTTTTGGTGCTAGTCCTGTGAGGAGTTTCCTATTAGGKTCCCTATCTCAGATAATTCCATGGTAACCTATGTTGCCCTGAAAGGGTAAATTTAAAGTCTCCAGGTTTCAGTAGAATTCAGGGCAAAGCCAACTCTGAGGCTTATTCCTCAGGATCTTGCTTTCATTTCATTTGGGCTCTGTTAATGGATTGTTTTCACTTCAGGTGAAAAGAAATATACTGAAAGTAWACATTTTATATTTATTCAGATTTGAGTATTTTCATTTGGAATAATCATTCAGTATATGCAATTTTCCACAAAATCTGCAAAGAGAAACTTCCTACAAATAAACCTAAAAAATCTTTACAATATTTATAAACATATTTCCATGTTTTTTAACTTCTAATCCATAGCCTTACATTTAATAATTGAATATTATGACATTAAATTGATGAAATAAAATTCATTCTCATTGTTATTTGTGAGATACGTTATGTTTTTAATTTTCCATTTTCTATTAACAATATTGTGATAAAACTCCTGTAGCTAATAGATCTTTGGATACCTACAATCATTTACTTAGGAAAAATTCAAATGTCGACATGACTTCTCAGCTTTAGATGCATATCCCAGCCTGCCCACCATAATAATTGTACCAATTTACATTCCCATTATTAGCATATGAGAGTGTCCCTAAAATAATAGAATTGTATGTAATTGAAAATGTGGATCATTTTTACAGGCTTTTTGAACTGTGCTGACCTAAAAATGATTTATTAAAGTAAAAATTATTAAGGGTATACATACACATATTTATAAAAAATATACTTAGTTTGAATTCCTATTTTCCTTTACTACTTGATAGTACAAATCAAATTTATGCCTCATAAGGATTCATTTCTATCATATATATGTATATATATTTACTTTTTATTTTTTATTTTTTTTAAAGAAAGAGTGAGAGAGAGGGAGAGAGAGAGAGAGAGAATTTTAATATTTATTTTTTAGTATTTGGCGGACACAACATCTTTATTTGTATGTGGTGCTGAGGATCGAACCTGGGCTGCACGAATGCCAGGTGAGCGCGCTACCGGTAGCTTGAGCCACATCCCCAGCCCCTATTTATTTTTTATTTTAAAAAAAAATTAGTTGTAGATGGACACAATACCTTTATTTTATTTATTTGTTTTTATGTGGTGCTCAGGCTCTAACCCAGTGCCTTACACATGCCAAGGAAGCATTCTACCACTGAGCCACAAACCCAGCCCCCCTATATATAATTTTGGTGTCTATTATGTACACTGCATTAGGTTAGGTCATAAAGGGTGGGCAGAAGACCTGTAAGGAGTGAACTCTAGCTCCAGGAGAGGGGAGGCTTGTAGGGTAAAGGCCAGCCAGATTGCAGTTGCTCAGGTGTCCAGTGCATAACACAGAGAGGTGCTGCTCGAATCCAGGAGCCAGTGGATGAAACACGAATAACATGACCAGCAACTTGTTCACCAATGCACTGATAGTCTTTGGTTCCAGAAGGAATTTAAAGTGCAAATTTTCATCTATTTGGAATTTATGTCTAGGAGCATGAGGCACATTTATAAAAAGACAAACAAATATCTTTGGGGCATTAAACAGTATGTTTAGATGGGTTGTAATGAAAGAAAACATATACTTGTTGCATATAAATTAATAGTTTTCAATAAAAAACAATTTGAAAAATTGCATAGGATTTTCTAAAGTGAAGACAAAATGCTGAATACCACAGTTACGTA